ATTCATACAAATTACCCGGTCAGAATATAATTTACATTGCTGGAATTTTATAATTTGATGATCATTTTGAATATAAAACATCATAGATTTTGCATTAGACATACAAAATATATGACATTTATATTCAAAATATTCCTGGTCCTACAAGGAATCCAGCAATGTCAATTATATTATCCTAACTTTAATCTGAGGTATTATTTAATACTAAATGTTAAAATTTAGTTTTTCACCCAACATCTCTTGAAGGGAGGATTGGTGGGGGTCGGGGGAGGGTTGGGACAGACTCATGCGGTTGGAAGAGGGGGAGGCAAGGTGGGGTACTTTGATTGACAGATAGTGTCGGGAAAAATATTTTTTTTATTAACTGAAGATATTTGTTTTAGCTCATAAAATTCATACAAATTACCTGGAGAATATAATTTACATTGCTGGAATTCTTACAATTTAGATGATTTTTGAATATAAACATCATAGATTTTGCATTAGACATACAAATTTTATATATAATGTTTACTCTGAGTAAATATGTTATTTTTTGTGCAAAATATATGACATTTATATTCAAAATATTCCTGGTCTTACAAGGAATCCAGCAATGTCAATTGTATTATCCTAACTTTAGTTTGAGGTATTATTTATTAAAATTTAGTGGTTTTCCCCAAAATTTCTGAGAGAAGAGCCAGCAGTGTAGTGTGGAGAAGAGGGAGGGACTTGAGTCCATTATTTGAATGGACATTAACTTCATGCCGACATTTCTCTCTTTCTCTTAAGTATTAATTGTGTGCATGTACCATCATAAAATTAAGATGTTATTTTTACTAGAACATAGGTATTGTGTCGGAAAAAGTGGAGTTTGGGGGTTGGGCTAGTTTCTATTGGAATTAATCCCATATGTTCTGTTGTTCACTTAGCGCGGTTTTCACTAAACACCGTTCCCTGTGGGTTTTATTGACCGCCAAGTAAGTACTACTGTATATTTTACCTTAACTGTGACTGAGTGAATATACGTATTCTCAGAAATAAATATGGAAATATAATATTTTGCTGGAATGACGCATATATTACAGTGGAAAGAGGGATAAAATCATGATGAAAAAAATGACTTTCGCTTTCGTTGTTCAAAGATTTTACTGTAATCGCTCGAATGGTTTTCAGTTAAAAACTATTTTACTTGTACTGTATTACAATAATATTCTACCCTATTATAAGCCTTATAATCCCACAGCTGAAACCATTCAAAAGTTTACGGCAACATCTTGAACAAAGAAAGAGAGTCATTGCTTTCGGCCACAATTTATCCTACTTTCCACTGTAATAATCGTACACCATTTCAGCAAAAATATTACATTTCCTGTTCTCAGAAATAAATGGTAGCTTTGTTGGAAACGTAATGTACAGTATTTAATAGTAAAATGCAAAATAGCTATAAAAACAATTAATACATCTCGAAATGTACTGGCTGGCATCTCCACTCGCCCTGCTCCCGGCCCAAGGTCACCACCCTCCCAACTCGCTCCCTCCGCTCCCTCCTCCGCCTCCTCCACCTCCTCACCGTCACTACTGCCGACAACAAACACAAATGTTTTGAACACCCCACTTCCTATGTACAGTCGTACAGACCCTCGTTTAACCTAACTCAACTGCTCCAGAAGGTCGCTTCGGTTAACTCAGTGCTGCTAACCGGTTCGTTAACCGAAACCATTGTTTCAATGGGTTTTTGGGTAATTGGTTCCAGCTCACCGAAAATTTCTAAATTCAAACAAAATGGTAGAAAAGTTCACTTACTTTGAGGTGTATGTGAAGGCTCCTGGATAATGATGATGATGAGATGATGAGGGGAATTAGAATGGTGGTGGAGGAGATGGGAGAAGAGAAGGCATTGGGGTAAGAGAAGTCACCGCCATTTCACCCATAAAATTTTAGTTCTCTTTGTGTAATTCAAGATTATTTTCTTTTAAATCAACACTGCACTGCATTATATATTGTCAATATGTAAAATAAATTTCAAAATGACCAATAATTTGCTTGGAAACACAGAAAAAAGCATTTAGTTGAAGAGAGCCTCAAGCAAGATGTTACCCAGTGAAAACAGAGATACTAACGCCTGTTTGCTGTGTTAAGAGGCTGGATGCCACATATAAACTAGTCACTTTACCTTCAATTATGTTCAATAATTGTTAAAATGACTAAAAATTGAATATTAAACTTAAAATTATTGAATATTATAAACTTCTTGATATTTACTAAAATAGTAAGGAAGTTGCCCAAAACCGATTAATGTATTGGCTGACTGATACTAAAGCTGGTTGCCCGGTCAGTGCAAGCTAAAACATGTTGAGGTTGGTTCAGAAGTTCGCTAACCGAATTGAAGATCCTATGGAAGGCAGTTCGTTAACCGAAATTTCGTTAACCAGGCGCTGCTTAAACGAGGGTCACTGTACTGAACTGTACTGTGCTGTGCATTTTACAAACAATAAACATGTTAAGAAAAGCTATAAAAAAAGAGATAAATCACTTTACTGTACAGTACCTATCCTCGGCAACAGGACGGGGTCATCGGGCTCATCGTCACTGAATTCCTAACGGTGGTGGGGTGGGGCACGGTGGATTCAGCTGCTTCCTCACTGCCGCCAGTGATTGATGGTGTTAAATCTCTCCTTCGGTGATCAAAGAACATGGTGATGGGGAGTTGTTGTCTTTCTTTCATTTTTCCATGATGTTTTTGTATGGAGCAAAACGTCATCCATCCTCGCATGAATTTCAGGGCACGCACTCCATGGAGGGGTCCATACTATAGGCCAGGTTTGTGCGCTCAATATTCCAGGTCATCTCCCCAACTTCTCCAACGTTATTTTGGTGCTCTTCCTTCCCTCATCCTCTTTCCCTTTTGCTTCCTCTTCCTTGCCTGAGTCTACTAACTCCTGTAGATCCTCCTCGGTCAGCTCAGTGCCTCGGCCTCAGCCCCTAATCTCGTCCTCTGCCATGTCCTGGAGCCTTAGTAGCCACCACCAAAAATCATTTTCCTTGTCATCGCCTGCACCAAACAGCTCCCAGTCTTCTCCTTGAACAGGCTAGAGGAATGTGTGGTTTTTCAATCGTTTTCAATTAAAAATGTTACATCACATGTATATTTTACCTAAACTGTGCCTGAATGAATATATTCTCAGAAATAAATAGTAGTTTTGCTGAAATGTGATGTATTTCAATGTAAAATAGGATAAAATATACGACAAAACAAAAGACTTTACCTAACCTTCAATGTTCAAGAGATGTTACTCGTTTTTTAATAGTTTTCGGTTAAAATACTGATATACAGACAGACCCCGACTTCATTAATTGCTTCGACTTTTACTAATCGGCCGACTTCGACCTACTGGATTTTTTATTATTATTATTTTTTATTTTATTTTATTTTATTTTTTATTTTTTCAAATGACACGCATTTTCTATACCCGAAACGTTTCCGGTTAATGTAGTCCATGTATAATAAAGAAAATTATGGGGCCCCATGTGCATTCAGCTGACTACATTAATGGTAAGTGCTCAGTCACACTGTAACCATTCCTTATTATTTATTACTTTCACTGTACTGTATCCATTCCTCATTATTCATTACTTTTTGTATTGTATTTCATTGTAGATTATTTATTTAAAAAAATTTTTTTTTATCTATGTCGGACTTACGACCATGTCAGACTTATGACCTGGATTTGTCCCTAACCCGCCGTAAGTCGGGGTCTATCTGTATTACAATGATATTCTATTCATACTGTGCTTGATATACTACATTCACGGAAATGTAATATTTTTGCTGAACTGACGTGACGTATTACAGTGGAAAGTGGATAAAATCGCGACGAAAACAATGACTTTCGCTTTCTCTCTACAAGATGTTACCGTAATCGGGTTTTCGAATGGTTTTCAGTTAAAAAACTGTTGCATCACAAGTGAATTAGGATAGAATATTATTGTAATACAACAGTTTTTAACTGAAAACCATTCGAAAGCGATTACGGTAACATCTGAACGAAAAGAAAGCGAGTCATTGTTTTTGCCACTTTACTGTATTGACGACGCCATTTCAGCAAAATATTACATTTCCATATTCTCAGAAATAAATAGTAGTTTTGCTGAAACGTAATTTACTATTAAATTAGATAAACTACATGAAAACACTTTACCTAACCTTCCGATGTTCAAGATATGTTACTCGTTTTTTAGTAGTTTTCGGTTAAAATTCTCTTATATTAGTGATATTCTACTCATACTGTGCTTGATATAATACAGTCACAGAAATGTAAATATTTTGCAACTACAATGCTGATGTCAACACAAGCGTGTTACAGCGAGACTGACTGAGTGAGGAGAGCTGTGTGTGTGTGAGGTTGCAGGAGCCGGCGTGTCCCGGGTGAGGTGTCACAGTTGAATGGCGCGATTTGAATGTACTTCAGTGTACAGAATATTCTCCGGCGGGCAATCCAGTGATTTGCAAATCCGTGTATTATAAACCCGCGACATAAGGGCCACTGTACTAAAAAAATATTCCCTCAAAATATCCTTGTTAAACAGGGGTGCTTTACGCATGTGCATCTTATATGCCTGCAAGTGCTGTATGTTCTTTAATTTGAAGTGGGAAGTTTTCACATAACAATATATTAAGAACCTTAATTAATACTTATGTTACAGGAAGACTTATGCTGTTAAGTAATGTTTCTTAAGTTTAATCTGAAACTTTGCTCATTCAGTTTGCCTCTTGGCATTGTAAAACTTTGTGTAACTTCTGCTAAAAAATTATATTATGTTTCCTTCACAAACATATCTGTGTCAATCTGTAATTATTATTTTTATTTACTAAATTCGAGTTGAAAGGTGGAAATTTTTGTTCAGTTTTAATTTGAAGGAAAAAGTAGAGACTATTGACTTTGATGTGAATTCTTCCAAGTACCTTTGTGTATATTTTTTATTTCTTGTTGATATGTGAAGTAATTTCTTCTTTGCAGAAGACCAAGCTGGAAAAAGACGAGCATCAAATATTTACAAGGATGACGAAGATTGTGTTGTCCGCCAGAGGTGCAGACTGTTGAGTAGATGGATTGATAACTGCTAAGAATACTATTTAGGTTTGAAAGTCAGAAACATACCAAAGTCTAGTACTGTACAGTATTGAATAATAGACATTCCATAAATTATCTTTATAGGAAGGTGCTTTTATCTTATCTGTTAAATTGACATGTTTACTATAAATGTATTTATATAAGTTAAAATACTTTAAGCATCTTCAGTAAATATAAAACAAACTATGGCATCAGGGTTAAGGAAGTGTGGATATAGTACTGTATATTATAATAGTGTTTGTTCAAGAGGTTCACTGTGTATGTTTGTATCATAGTACAGTACTACAAGTAGCCAATGTATCAGTCTGTTGATGTGCTTAGTTTGGATGTGAAATTGTGATGAATTTGAGAACGTGTTTATAGTATGCATGTACAGCTTTAACATGTTGCATACTGTGTTTATTTTCACATCACTGTAAGTTTGACCAGTCAAGTGATGATACTGTGTGGATATTGGTCTGGAAGATAATGTTTAAGAGCTCATATCTAAACAGGTAACCAGTGCAGTGATTATATTTTATCAATGTCTTTTCTCTGTTTTAATGGAATGTGAATGGAAGTAACAGTTTAAGTCAGCAAATATGAGCACTTTATATAACTCTTGATTGTTTAAACCAAAATTTTTTACAGTAAAATCTTGTTACAATTTGCTCAGGTTGAATGTGTGGTGCTAGTTCGTCTTGGCCATAATTTTGTTGGCTGTCATTTTAATGTACTGTACATTACCCACTGGACCTATTTTTAAACTTTAACTGTGTTCAAAATTTTTTAAACAGTTATATTTTGTAAACAAACCAAAATATATTGACTAATAGGTGAGATAAGAGTAAGGAAAATACAGTATAGACTGAAGTATAATAAGTATGAGTGGTAATGGCAGTAGAATTAAGAATAAATAAAACTTCTTTTTATTTAGTTCTACTTTTTTTGACACTGATTGGCCTGTTGTAGATACACTACCAATGATGAGAAGAGCAAGATCATTCAAGTATTGGGTTAAAGGAATTTCAGGAACATTCCCTCATGGGTACTGTATGTGTTATGAATACAGAAATGGCCTTTGCCCTTTACAGGAAGCCACCAAGTTGTTTGATCTCTACAGAACCTCTTTAGATACTAAAGGTATGGTGAATCTATTTCTATTTATCGAAATTAGTGGTACTGTAATGGTTGGTTTCTGTAAATTAATTATTTTCGTACAAGAAAATTTAGTTTCTGTAAACTATACATTTGCATATACTGGCATATACTGTACAGTACTGTATAAGTAATACAGTACAGTATTTAGTTGCTATAAACCTATATAATTATTCATACTCTGCATGGTACAGAGGCAGTGGATATTTGTACATTCATTTAGTACAAACAACCTTTCCAAGTAAACGTATGCTAAGATAGTTTGGGCACATGGAGAGAATGGAGAAAATAAATTGGGTCAAGAGGTGCATCAACCTAACTGTGGAGGGAAGAGAGCCTGGGGTAGGCCATGAATGTCATGGGGAGAGGTTGTAAGAAATGACCTCAATATAAGAGTTTGAAAGAGAGGTTGCAAAGACACCTGCAGCATGGAGAGCTGCCATCAAGTAATCATGCTAACCATCACAAGAGTGAAATATGGGTGTAAAACAATGATCATGAGAATTGTAAAATGATGATTTACAAAGTAGTTATGAAGAAAATTACAGGCTTGTTATTCAGGAATATTTTAGAGATGTTGAGAATATGATCAAGGAGTGAATGAGAAAAATAAAAAGGTAAATTAAAAACAGAGACTGTAATGCATTTACATAAGGAGCAGTATTTTTCTCCCAGTTTAAATCTACTGCATGATAGAATGTGTTGGGTTGTCTGTTTTTAGGCAAATCGTGTTTGTTTGGTCATCTTCTTTTTATTAATATTTTAATGAAATTTGATAAGTATATGCTCTTTTAGGTAACAATTCTGGTTGGACTTTATTTGAATAACCAGTGGTATATGGGTTTGTGTCTGTGACTATAACATTGAAAATATTATGATAGTTATGAGGGCCACTACTGCCACCATTTATGAGGGCCTCCGTGTGCTAGTAACAATTCCTTTACTCTCATACTTATTACCATTGGTAGCGTGATGAGAGGAGGCTCGTGGGTAGATGTAATGATAGTATCAAGCAATAGGGAAGAAATAACGGTAAATACTGTAGGTAAATAATAGACACAATATACAAATACAAAATTTATTTAAACATTAATATGAAATTAGGAGAAAGAATTTATTTGTACCAACAGACGAAATCTAGTACTAGGCCCTCAGGCTCAACATACTCACACCACTACTGGGTGCTATACTCAATAACACTTCCAACCCTACTGGGTGGACATACTCAATAACACTTCCAACCCTACTGGTGGACATACCAATAACACACAACTCTTATAGTCACTTAGCACCATAAAGACAGGGGCAACTGCCACTACCACCTTCAGTCGTCAGGAGTGATACTCAAGCAACAGCCATGGGGTCCAGCCACCATGGAGTACTTTCCCGATGAACTCCTGAAGATCCCAGTGGATTAATTCCACCATATAAATAGCCCTACTGAGTTAGACACTCATCCACCAATGATGGGGCTGGTAGTGGGTGTGGCTTGGTGATCCGGGTCACCTCGCAGGCCAGCGTTAGGGCCAGGACGAGCCAGCTATGGGGCTATAGGTAGTCTGAAGTGTCTGACGCCGGGTCTCACCAAGGTAACTGATCCTACGGCCTCGGACATCTCCCCAGACATAGTGGATACAACATCCACGCCACAGACACGCCTAGGCTGCGTTAGGGACCTGTATGGATGAAGGGACGGGCACTCACTAACTGTGACAACAACATCACGTTTCAGGACGTTAAAGACATAAATATGACTTCACTCAGAGCATATCAACTACGTTACTGTAACACTTGCACAATCAACTATTAATTGGGTCAAATCACTTAAAGAAGGGTGAATTACAACACAGAGTGGAATGGCATACCTGTATGGGTGAAGGACGGGCACTCACTAACAGTAGAAATGCCCGCCTCACCCAAAATAGGCCAGGAGTCCACCTACTTCTATTCCGATGAATTAATTTACTGTACACTATGACGTTGAAACTGAGACTATAAACTCAGTTTCATTCCCTACATCTTCACTAACAATGCTCTGACTCAGCTATCAAAAGCAAAATTAAATTGATTACAAAGGGTTGGATGGCAACAGGTCCCAAGCATACAGGCTCTGCTACTGAAACTCCGGGGATTATGTTCAAAGTTCCCTACAAACAAAAGACGGGGAAACAGAGAAAACGGGGACGTTTCCACTGTGACTCAGAAGGTTTTGTGGACGTTTGAGCGTAATATGAATCCTTAAGGTTTTCAGGTTAGCCGATTATCACGATCATGACATAGTAACATTAAAATGATAAAATTATTTCTTTTTTGGTGTTTGTAACAAGTTTATAAGTGAAGCTAATGAGCTGATCGTTGGTGAAGAGGATAAAAGAGATGGACACCCAGAAAGATGAAGAGTAAATGAATGATCGGAGAGCATAACATATGGTTGATGGGGCTGTTGCTGTGAATGGATGAGATGGAATGAAAGGAGATTCCATGTTTGGTCTTGGTTCTGGCTGTGTGGAAAGGCTCACAAATAAAGGGGAGGGAAGGAAGAAATGTTTTACCCTTAACTAGTGGCTAGTGATTCCCTACTCAACCCTCTTATGCACAATAATGGAATGCTAGGAACATGAAATGTCCTCTGATGATACTCCAATAGCTATCTTCCACTGATGATGGCTGGCATTTTAAAGGTTGAAGATGTGTTGAGACTTTGTTTGAAAGACTTTTCATATCATAGTCCATGTCATTGATTGATGAAAACTGTATGGGTTAAGAGATGACTTATTAACTGTAGTCTAGAGATAAATGTACTCAACTGTACTGCCCTGCATTGTATGTTGAGGTTTGCAGTTTTGCACATAATATTCTATTTCAGATGTAAATTGTGAATTGTTCTTCTATGTCATGACTTAATAAGAAATCTCTTCATTTTATTGACCTGATGAATGAGATAAGGAAGTTCCTCGATTGTCTACCATTACAAGATAAGTTTTTATCTCACTTGACCAGATGCTGTAGAGTATAGTACAGGTTGACAACCCTTTATCCGAAATTCCAAAAACCGAAAAGCTCTAAAACCTTTATTTCTTTTTTGTGGGCATTTTTTTTTTTAAACAGGGATTAGCCCACCCAGGCATAGATCACTGACCCACATTGGGGCCTGGGGAGCAAATGTAATAGTAATAATAATTATAATAATTATTCATAGTAAATAAAAATTTTACTAAAAATACACAAAATAATAATAATAATAATAATAATAATAATAATAAAAGAAAATACAAGAATGAAAAAAAGATCAAAAGTGAGACACATGACCTAGACCAATGAATTATTATTATTATTTTAATTATATTTCCCCACCCAGGCCCCAATGTGGGTCAGTAATTTGTGCCCGGTAGGCTAAAAAAAAAAAAAAAAAAAAAATAAATTCTGAAAACCGGAAAATTCCAAACCAATGCCTCTGGCCCCAAGGATTTCAGACAATGGATTGTCAACCTGTATACTGTATAAGTTGTTAATAAAAGTGGAATAACTTAATTTTCTTTACTGACCATAAAAGTTACAAATACTGCTTAAGAACACATTTTCAATAAAACCTTCAGTACTGTATAACAAAAGTATTTTCAGTAACATTCAAAGACTTGTGACATTAATTTTAATTATGCACATGTTGGCATTGACTTAAATGTCAGAAAACTAGCAAGAGAGACCTCTAGGGACAGTGATAAGGAGAGCTAAATTTCGTCACATTCTTTTACAAGCAGTGAGGACAGTGATGAATGATGTTAGACTTCTTTTAGACAACATTAATGAGTCACCATCTTGTAGACCACAGGTGACATCCATCATCTTGTAGACCACAGGAGACATTCATCATCTTGTAGACCACAGGAGACATTCATCATCTTGTAGACCACAGGAGACATCCATCATCTTGTAGACCACAGGAGACATCATCATCTTGAGACCACAGGAGACATTCATCATCTTGTAGACACAGGAGACATCATCATCTTGTAGACCACAGGAGACATTCATCATCTTGACCACAGGAGACATCCATCTTGTAGACCACAGGAGACATTCATTATCTTGTAGATCACAAAGGAAGGTAATAGGTGGGAACATAAAGCAAACCGGTTCAGGATCACCAAGATAAAGATAGATGGATGGAATGTGAACTTTGGGGCGACGGAAGAATGTGATGGAGGAGTTTAGGCGGCTGGAATAAGAGCAAGACTATGTCAGACATTTTAGTGACTTAATATATTTATATATAATTTTTTTGCTTTACATGTAGAATCTCCAGCACTCTTCAACATTTTAGTGACTGTCTCTTTATGGTTATATAGATGGTTTTGTACCCTTGTGAGCAAGTACAATATATAAAATATCATTTCTAAGATTGCCTCAGCTCTGTAACACACACGTTAGCACAAAAGATTATTTCAATATTACACACGTTAGAATGGACTTGTATCATTCACACCGAATTTAAATGATGCAGGAGCTGGAGCACCTGGTGGAGGGGCAGCAGTGATGTAGGGCAGCCAAGGCTTTAATGTCCTCAGGTGAAGGTATGAATGCCTTTGCAGCTGCTGGGATGAAGGCAT